TCGGTTTCACCACCTCACTCGTTGCCCGAACCCGTTGCCCTACCCGTTGCCCTACGAGCGCCCGAGTTCGGTTTCACCACCTCACTCGTTGCCCGAACCTGCCCTACCCGTTGCCCTACGAGCGCCCGAGTTCGGTTTCACCACCTCACTCGTTGCCCGAACCCGTTGCCCGAACCCGTTGCCCGAAGGGTGGGGTCCAGATCAAAGCTAAAACACAAAAAAAGTTTTAATAAATGGAAGATTATATAAGTTTACAAGAAATTTACGTCTACAACTCTACGCTTTTTAAGTCCAAAAGCCTCAAAAGTTTCTTAAAAACGCAACCCATCACCGAAGACGACTACATCAAAAAAGGAAGCAAAATAGAAATCAAAGCCGCCTGGGTGAAACAACACATGCCAGCATTTGACCAAACACTACCTACGTTTACAAACGAAAAGTCCAAAGTTTTCGAAGTTTCTTCAATCATCAAAAATTTCAACCCTATTCAATTGAACATGGACTCTAGCTGCGTAAAGTACCTCTCCAAGGACGGCAAACGCACACCTTTCTTCACCATTAAGGGCTACATCAAAGTAATGGCCCTTCATAACACAATACCCGATCAAACACTCGCGTGGATATCCGAACTGATGTACGGCAGATTACAACAACATCTAGATTCGTTAGAGGATGTGGTTGAAATGGTTTCCGCTCAGCATGTACCCATTGTCAAGGTTATTAATGATGAATGGGTGCTTTCGGATACGAGTGTGACGGAGTATTCTGATGTGGTTGTCGATTTCAGGAAGGTCGGTCAGCTCAAGAAAGAACAGGACAAAAATATAAATGCGCTCGAAAAATATAAATGTCCCATTTACAAACAAATGAAGACATCTTTCGATAAACGAGTCGAGGAGGTTCAAATAGCATTTAAAACCCAATTGAAAGAAATGGAGCAAAAACATGTGATTCAGAGCTTGCATCAGGAACTCGACAAAGAAAAAAGTCTCAAGGACCAGGCCATCTCGCTGACTCAGTCCTTCGTGCCAAACTTTGACAAGCGGCTCATTAGTCCGATCGACTCACCTCCGCACCCAGATGGGTACGACGAGCGGCGAGCAATCGCAATCCCGAAGGGAGGCAAAGGGTCGCTTAGGCCATCGAAGATGTAAAAATGAAAATTGTTTCGTCTAAAAAGCTAAAATAAATGGTTTATACAATAGCAATTGACGGTATTATCGGATGCGGAAAGTCCTCGCTCATTTCCGAGCTGGCACGCGATTTTACGTGCTTTCCAGAACCCATACACGAATGGTCTCTACTATCTGACTTTTACAATCAAATGTCAACCTATGCAGCTCCTTTTCAGTTTCAAGTGCTTTTTTCTTTTCATAAGATGTTTTCGGCCTTTAAAAATGTTAATGATAAAATTATAATTGAAAGGTGTCCTTGGTCTTCGAAAAATATTTTTACAAGTATGTTAGTCGAGGAAGGGTACATTAGCGAAGAAGAGCACAGGATGTATTTGGATTTTTATGACCGCCTTGGATTTAATGTCGACATGCATATTTACTTGAAAGTAGACCCGGCAATTGCTTACCAAAGAATTTTACAGAGAGACCGTGCAGTAGAAAGAACGCTCCAATTCGATTATCTCAAAGCTCTTCATAATAAATACGAAAAACATTTTTCAGTAAAGCAAGCATGTGTAGAAAATATTTATATTGTGGATGCGAATCAGTCTTTGGACGAAGTAAAAACAAACGTGATTAAAATTTTGGACGGTGTAAGTAATTCGTAGAATTCGTAGAATTCGTAGAATTCGTAGTACAATAATTCGTAGAATTCGTAGTACAATAATTCGTAGAATTCGTAGTACAATAATTCGTAGAATTCGTAGTACAATAATTCGTAGAATTCGTAGTACAATAAT